GCCACCCAGCTAGGAGCTGGTGGTATCTCTGTGGGAGATGAAGTACCATAGAATGGTTTGGGTTGGAAGGGACCTCAAAGCCCATCCAGTGCCACCCCCTGCCCTGGGCAGGGACACCTCCCACCACACCAGGTTGCTCCAAGCCCCCTCCAACCTGCCCTTGAACCCCTCCAGGGATGGGGCAGCCACAGCTTCTCGGGCCAACCTGGGCCAGGGTGTCACCACCCTCCCACCAAACAAGTTCTTCCCCACATCTCAGCTCCATCTCCCCTCATTCTGTGTCAAACCTTTCCCACTCCTCCTAGGGCACCCCACCCTGATCCAGAGTCCCTCCCCAGCTTTCCTGGAGCCCCTTGAGGGACTGGAAGGGGCTGGAAGGTCTCCCCGGAGCCTTCTCTTCTCCAGGCTGAACTCCCCCAACTCAGCCTCAACAGAGGGGCTCCAGCCCTCCCAGCATCTCCATGGCCTCCTCTGTCCCCACTCCAACAGCTCCATGTCCTTCTGCTGTTGGGGACTCCAAAGTTGGACACAGAGCTCCATATGGGGTCTCCCTAGAGCTGAGCAGAGGGGTACGTATACGGTGGGGAGGGCTGGATCCAACTGTAGGTGACATCTCTAGCTTTCCAGAGACCCCTTTGTCTTCTGAAAAACCGGGCAAATGAAATTAAGCTTGCTTTCTGCGCTACCCAAATAGTCCAACTTTGACTGTCACGTGCTCCTGAAAAGATTTTTTTAAAAATCCAAATTCAGCAGAGAGGGGAGCGACAGGGATACAGGAAGAATATGCCCTAGTGAAGAAGAAAGGCAGCAGGGTGCTGTTTGGTTTCTATTCAGCCCAATCAATCTGGCTGCCAGCTTCCTAATAATTAGAGCAGCAATCAATGAAGGAAAGTACTAGCGTTGAAATACTAGGAAAGCATTCTTCATAAAACCTGAAATTTGTCTTGAAGCCTCGTTCGAGGCTTCGCGTGTCCATTCATTGAGCTGAACTTTCAGGCTGAACAAAACTTGTCTTTCTAGGTAAGAACAATTTGTACCGCCCTGAAAACTATTCCCTCTCGCACCGGGATGATCATGTAGTGCTAGAGGAATTGAGAAAAATGTTTTAGATCTTCTGTAAATTCCCTTTTTTAGAATTTATTTTTTTTTCTCTGCAGAATAGCCCCCAGGGTGGATGAGCCAATACTAGATTTCTTGCCTTGAGGATGTAAAAGGTTATGATGTGCTAAGATATCTGAATCCGTCGTAGTCGTGCCAGGTGGATGCTGGAATAAAACCCATTGTCTCTGTGTCAAAGGGCATCTTTTTGGGAACACACAACTCGAAGCGTCACCTCTACTGCTGTGGAAAAAGTCTAATTTTTTAAAATTTGCTTCCTTGGGGTTGCAGAGAGGAGCTGTGTCCTGCCACGGGTAGGAAAAATGTATCAAAAGCGTGGAAGAACGAGAGAATTGACAGCCTGTAATGAGACCTTGTTGTGTAAATAATGATAGGGCAGATCCATTTGGATTTGGTAAATGTGCTTTTCTTGGCAGCGAAGCATCCTGAACCCCACATAGGGCAGATCCATTTGGATTTGGTAAATGTTGGTAAATGTGCTTTTCTTGGCAGCAAAGCATCCTGAACCCCACGCCACGGACATTACCCTGTCAGATGAGATACCTAGTGCTCCATCACTCCTACGGGACGGAGGTTGGGTTGGTTTGTGTGTGGTTCTTTTTTTTTTTTTTTTTTTTCCTTTTTCTCTAAGTTACGTATTAAACAGCCAAGAGTCTTAAATGAAATGTCACATCCAATTTGGCAGCCGAGAGGTGAAGTCTGCAGCCCTTGGCCAACCCTGACGGCTCTGCACCGAGCGATGTGGGGAGAGGGATTATATTCACATCCTTCTCTTTGGGGTAGAACATGCTCCAGAAGACCCTCCAGCCTTCGAAAGGGTGGTTGGAGCCAGGATGGTGAGGGTGGTGGGGTCCCCAGCTCCTCTCTGGGAGAGCAGTGGTGGGGGATGCTTGTAGAAAGAGGCAGCGCGTGGGCTGTCTCCCCCCCGGGGGCTCAGGAGTTAGCGTTTTCCTGTGCTGGAGGCTTTATTCTCATCTTCACTTAATAGCTTCTGATGGTTTTGTCTTAAAAGAATTTGTCCAGTTGCTCTCTGGGTTTTATAGCTGTTAGCCTCTGCTCACACGGCCTCCTACGGCACTGTGCTCCAACAGGAGGAGTATGCCCTGGGAAAGTATCTGCTGCTTCTCTGTAATGTCTGACTCATAACGTTGTTTCAGGCCCTCAGGTTCCTGGTTTGTGACACGTTTTTCCTTATTCACGTTGCCCAGGCCATTTACGAACCTCTCCTGTCTGTCTCCCGTATGATTTCTAGCTTGAGGAATCTTATTCCATCTTCATATTACAGAATCCCATGGGGTAGGAAGGGACCTCTGGAGATCATCTAGTCCAACCCCCTGCCAAAGCAGGGCCACCCAGAGCAGGTCCCACAGGAATGTGTCCAGGTGGGGTTTGAATGTCTCCAGAGAAGGAGACTCCACCACCTCCCTGGGCAGCCTCTGCCAGGGCTCTGCCACCCTCACAGCAAAGAACTTCCTCCTCGTGTTGAGGTGGAAAGAAGTTCCTCCTCAGGTTTAGGTGGAACATCTTAGATTTAAGTTTGTGCC